TTTTTTGCACTCAAACGCCCAAGTATGTCCATGGCTCTGTAGCCTAGCCTCCTTCGCCATGGCGCGGAGTTTTGGGAGTTTTGGACGAGCAAATTCTCCTGTACATCTTGAGCATTGGTGGCTACAAGGAAGGGCTGCTGTGCGAAGGGTTAACATGGCAGCCACAACAAAAAGCCAAGCAGCTCGGCAACCCAGCATTCTCAGCACGGGATATCTGTCAACTTTCATTCTGGGATTTAATATCGAAATGGATGGCCAACAACTTACACAATGATTCAGGCAAAACCAGCTGCCAGCTGAAGAATTTTCAGAATCCTGGTTGCATGCAGGGCTGGAGGCCATCGCGATTAGGTTGGAGGCCACCGCTTCTAGGTTGCAGGCCATTGCTGTTAGGTTCTATATTATTATTGTCTTGTATATTATTATGATGTGTCTCTTCCATGTCGTTTTCGGACGAGAAAATTGCCACCATGTTGCATGCAAGCATCCAAACCTCGACCTCCAGCAAACCGCCCGCCTGACATGAGGCATTCGACCCCACAGAAGAGCGCAGCCACATACGCCGCCTTGGCTCGGGACTCGAACTTCTCCACAGCAGCACCTAAAAAGCAAGTATGCACTCTTCACGTCAAGCTCACATCCAACAACTCGAAAGAAAAACAGCACTTCTCAGATTATCCAACGCAATACTCGTCAAATGACTCAGTACCAATGACAGCTGTTGTCAAGAAACCGCGTCATGTTTCAATGCTTTTGTAACTTGCATGCTTTTGGAGGTGACGCTCCCTGTTAGACGACCCGCATGACGTTCACCCGCCTGTGACCGCCAACATCTGCAAGATCCACAAGTCCAGGGGCAGCGGAGACACAAGCCCTCGCCCAAGCATCTGTGTGCTGTGGGTGTGTGCATTCACGAAGCCTGGCCGGGAAGAAAGGATCTGGGGTGGTGATTTTCATTTCATTCGCATCCGTTCGGAAGCCAGTTGGCTTGTGGAGGTTAGCGGCTAAGGCCAAAAGCTAAATTAAGCTCAGCACGTCAGCGGAATCACCATTTATTGTTGCCACTTCCGAGCAAAATGGGATCCTAGCACGATGCAAACCATCCAGGCCTTTCTGTGGGCCGCGATAGGGCGGCCGGGACGGCCGCTCATTGTGGACCTGCCATGCTTTTTGGATCATGACGGCCCAGTCATGCAACTGCACAAGAGTCCTACCCTGCGGTTCAGACATCAGGCAAGTCCTCCACCAATGCATGCCCTTCTCATCAAGGTCGCCCTGCGTGCCCCATAGGAAGACCATGCCGAGCAAAATGCCCATGTCCACATCTTCCCATTGCTGGTAGAAGGTTTGCACTGCATTTCCAGTGGCAGCAGCCTGAGCGCATTCCTCTCCGATAGCTTGTAAGAAGTCAGGGTCCGGATGGAAGGAGACCCCAGATCTCTCAAGCTCTTCTTTGAGGTCGAGAAAGTTCTGCTCCAAAGTGGTGACATCGTCAACGGTGGCTCCAAAAACCCGAGGTCCATGGAGCTGCACTGCCTCCACTCTGCATGCCCCTTTCAGGGCCACAAAAGAATCTGCGGGGAGGCCCTCACGCGCTTCTTCGCTCACCCCAAAGGTTTGCAGCCATGAAGCACAAATGTTGCCAATGCCCTTCCGGGAGACATACCTCAAGTGAATTCGAAGGCGATTCTTCGTCCAGTAGTGCCTAAGGCAGACTGGACAGGTTGCCCCGTGGAGGTATCCCGAGATTGGCGTGCGCCATGAATGGGCTGTCGTCTGATGCATTCGCAGCGCTTTCAAGGAGGCAAAACCTTGCCCGCAGTGGCATTTGCAGTGCACCTTCATCCAGAGGTCCTGAAGAGTTTCCTCTTCTTCACCACGCTCCACAGGCGCAGTGTGCAAAAGATGCATGATGCACCGGTATTTTTGCACTGCTTTCCGCAGCACATGTTGCCAACCTGGTTTCTGATGCTGCCAAGCCTCCCAAAGCGCCGGCAAAGTAGTCCCCCATGTCGAGAGATCCACCATGGCATGAAGCCATCCGAGGTCCTCCGTCACCATGCCTCGCCAGCTTTGCGCCATCTCGGCCTCTTCCCGGAGCAACTCCTCGTGCACAAAGGACGGTGCAAAGCGAGCCACCCGTGCAACGAGAAGAAATCGTTGTTGCGAGATCCGCACCATAATCGGTGCACATCCCGTCCGCTGCAAGATGGCCAAGTCACTAAGAACCTCAGCATCATGAGTCTTCACCTGTCCCAGAGTCCGCCTAAGCAAACCCAAGTAGCAGACCGAAAGTTTGTGCTCATCCGCTAGAGTTAGGCCATTCCAACTGCCACATCCATAAAGCAGCTTAGTGAAAACCAATGTCTCCAGCAGGAAAATGCGTGTGGATTCCTTGAGAGCCTTGTTCAAAAAGACTGGCCGAGCAAGTTGACGAAATGCACCCCATGCCTGTCCTACTCTGCGCTTGACCTCAAGGTGGAGACGTCCTGCCGCGGCCATGGTAGTCCCCAAGTGCTTATATGCATTCCCCAAGACAAGGCACATGGTAGATGACGATGTTCCCACCTGCACAGTCATCTGGGGCTCTCTTCGAAGTCTTTCTGGGAAGGCACGGGCTTCTGGACCTGCATAAGTCACTAAAACTTCTGTTTTGCCCCTGCTCGTATTGAGCGTCATGCCATATTCATGGAAAATGTCAAAGACAACACCGAAGGCATACTTGATCTCTGCCTCCATCTCAGCGTTGCTCATAGCAAGGAGTGGTACGGCTAAATCGTCAGCCCACACCACTTGTACCGCTTGAGTGCCAAGGGTTTCTCGGGCATGCCGCTGCTGGGGCCGGGCCTGCAAGTGAGTTTCAATCTTGGCAACAATGGGGCTCATCAAGCAATGGAACAAAGCATCCGCCAAAGGGCTCCCTGGTCGTGAGCCTCTTGCGGTGCGCACGCCTCTACCATGGATAGTGGACCATGTGTATCCGTGCAGTTCGCGCATGAGTGCCTTCAAGGGCCCTTCAGGAAGAACTCCATGAGAGTGCGTCATCTTGTGTATGAGGTCATCCTCGAAACCTTCCTTCTTCAAAGTTTCTTGGAGCGCCATCAGGTCCACATGTCCGCCAAGATCCTTCCCTAGAACCAGCTCCCTCACCAAGGAGTGAAATGCCGCCCTCAAGTCCACAAAGAGGATGGCGCTGGGAAGCTTAGCCTGGTATGCGCGCCTCATCAAAGTGCGCACATAAAGACTTCCAAAAAGGCACTCTTGATGCGGAAATCCTCCGAGTTGCCCCGGTGGTGACTGTTCTGAAACTTGAGCCATGAGGGCATCACGGAATAGGGCATGGATCCGGCGGACGAGTACTCCAAGAAGCATCACCCCTCTGAATTGCGAAGGTTCTGTGGGCTGGATCACCTTTGGCAACATGTAGAGGGTGCCGCCTTTCCATTGAATGGGCTCGTTCATGGTGTACATCATCTTCAACACAGCGTCGTACACCCATGTGCCCATTGCCCCAGCTGCACAATGAAGCCACGTCGACTCCAGGCCGTCTGGGCCACTAGCCTTCCCAGGTTTAGTGCGCCTGAGGGAGACTTCTATTGCTGTGAGAGTCGGGAGGTCCGCGAAGTGGTGCACACAGTTCTCTTCTTTTTCCTGTGGCTTTGCAAGCACCTCCTCATAGAGTTCCTTCAATTGGGTTGGTGTGCCAGCCTCCAACAGGCAAAGATGAGGTTCCCATTGTTCCCTCATCGCTTCCTGTTGCTGTGCACTGCGAACTTCTCGTCTCATCTGCATCTTAGGGAGGTACATCTTGACCTTCTGCCACAGCTCACGAGTGCTTCCACTGCAGTCAACTTCACCCCAACTCTGCTTCAGCTGATCGAAGAAGTGGTTGGCATCTCTCCTCAAAAGAGTGGTGGTCTGGTTTCTCACCTGGCGAAAATGCTTCATTGCATGAGCCCAATGCCTTCCCATAAGGCGTTCAAAAGCCGCTAGCCATTCCCAAGAGGGGGACTGGGCCGATTGTGCCCATGCACAAAAACATGTCCTCAGGGAATGTTGCTTCATCCACGTTTGCAGCTGTAACATGGTCTTCCGCCAGGCCGCCTTCACAATGATAGCATCCTTAGTGTCTGTAGCAAGATAGGGCTTGCGGTGAAAGCGCCCCCTCAAAGGAAGGACAGTTTGTATGCCTTGGTTGAAGCGCTTCACGAGCTCATGTGCATGTTGATGCATGTCCAGGTTCCATGGGATCGGAGCCATAGTGTCAACAACCTGGCGCATCACAAATGGCCCATGAAGGGCGTCCAATTTCTCTCTGGGCGGTGCTCGACGACTCCGTGTGAGCTCGGGGCTTCCGCCAATGGTAGCAGTGAGCTGCATACATGTAGCCAGATGATCATGCAAATGTTGATGGGCCTGGAGCCCAAAGTCATTCCAAGTACGTAGTCTGGTAGTAGTCCACTTCAAAGGAATGGCCACATAGTCCAATCGTGCCTTGGCTCCATTGCGGTGGATCCATGTGTATGTAGGTCCCTCATGTATACCCTCGAAGGTGGCAGGCAAGAAGAGACCTTGCCGCAGAAGGAACTCATGCAAGAGTCCTCCAGCTATGGATTCATCATCACCGCCCCAGGCTCCTATGGCCGTAGAAGTCACTTGGCCGACCCTTGCGTTGAAATCACCCATCAGGATCATTTCTTTGCCTCTTAGATGATCTGGTATTGCTCGTTGAACGGTCTCCCAGAAATCAGTGAGCTCAGCTACAGTGTGCCCACTGTGTGGGACATGTAGATTTGCAATGAGGAGATCCACAGAGCCGGTCCACAATCTCGTCAAAATGAATCTGTGCGAGCTTGCCACCACAGTCCATTGATCTTCATGAATTCGTCGCACCTGACCATCAGCCTCAATGATCTGGAAGAACAAGGTATTGAGGGCTAACATGACACCGCCATGCCCCCTTTCAGCCGGGTGGCACCTGATCATATAGTGATCATCCCTGAACGCCAGATTCTTGAGACGCGTTTCTTGAAGGGCCGCGAGGGCAATATTCAACACATTGCAGGACATTATGGTGCCTTTAAGTGCCACTTCTGCCCCAGGCGCCCTCTGGTCCTGCCAGCCTGCCAAGGTTGCAGCTACCTCTTCATCTGCCTCCTTTTGCGGTCTTGGGAGAATCAGCCGGTGGCCATGCCAAAATTCTCGAAGATCTCGGCGGTAGAGTAGCCAAAAGGACTGTGTCCACATGTTTGGGAGGGTCTCTTCACACCGAAATCCTTCCCAAAATGCATCTGTTCTAAATCTGTTGATGGCCGCGTGCTTTGCAAGAACATCAGCTGCTTCGTTGCCAGGGTGCCCTAGGTGTGCTTTGGTGTGATGAGGCTCAACCAAGATATCATGTGCAACCTGGACCATGTGCATCAGAGCCCTGGCCTTCTGACATTGTGGATCCGTACTGGAGTAAAGTCCAAAGACAACCCCAGCAGCAGAGTCAGAGTCAAAGCAAAAGTGCACAGCTGGCTTAGCGCTCCATGATCGCCCCACTGTACGAAACAGATCATGTACCCATTTCAGGGCCATCATTTGTGCCGCAATTTCACCATGGTAAGCATCAATTTCGCCATGGAGATGATGTTGTAGAGATCCACCCCACATCCATTCTTCACCCCATGCCCATAGGGTCACCGCAGCTCCTGTTCCGTATTCATCCTTGGAGCCATCAAGGTAGAACCAGAGTTCTTTCACCTCCTGAAGCTGCCATTGAGGGAGAGAAATCCAAGGATAACTATGATCATGCCAACGAAGCTGCTGATTGAAATGTGGTTGCACAACGTGAGTATTGAACCAATTCAAAGCCTCACAGGCCTCTCTGAAGTCAATCCCAGGGCCCTCACTTCCAAATGTACTACAGGGGGCAAAGGTTGTCCCCAGGATCTCTTCCAAACGCAGCGGGACCTTCTTATTGTCAATCTCCGCATCCGTCTGAAGTGGTAGGTTGTTGTTGACTTCGCCATTCTCCCCTACCCATTCGTTTTGATCGAGCCATGTATGTGCATCCTGGAATGTGTCAGCATTCAAGTCCTTACAGAATTGCATTCACGAAGGGATTGTGGCAGACTTCTCCGTCCAAAGTGGCCAGGAAGTTATCCACAAATGCACTTAGTTGCCGTCCAACTTCAGCAGAAGATCGCATTTCCTCCATCTTTGTGGCCTCTTGGGAATAGGTGCTATTCTGCAAGGGCAAGGCAGCTTGTTGACTTCGAACTGCCTCCACATGAGTCTCATTCTCTGCATGCACCGAGGCCCGACTCGTGTTAGTAGTGCCCTGTATGAACTCCAGCCAAAAGTCATTGTCACATCGTGGGTCATAATGTCCACCGCCCGCTTCGTCCTCATCATCTTCCACCCATGGATGAAAGCGCACAGGGTTGCCAGGAGGAGAGAGCTTCTGAAGAGCAAGAACCTCTTGGCCCGGCCAGGTAACCTGCAGCAAAGCCTGGTCATCTGACCCCTGAGAGGACATACCTTCATCAGGTGCATTGTCCTGACAACTGCCTGGATCTTGTCCATCCACCCAAACTTGAAGATAGCTTGAGTGCGCCAGTAGTCGGGCATGCGGATCTTGTTGCTCCCAGGGTGCGAATCCGACTTGAATTAGGCATCTAGAGATGCCGTACTTGCCACACTCTTTCGTCAGCCCTAGCTCTTGAATGAATTGTAGCCTGGTGAGAAGGTGGGGAATCACAAGAACCTGCTTGTACTGCACGTCAGAAAAGTATAGGCCAACCAAAATCACACTCTGTGTGGGCATGTAAGAGCCCGGCATAGCCAGAACCACCATCTTCTCACCCATCGGTCTCCCAGCCGGTTGGGGCTTGACCTCCAAGATCAAAGCGTTGGTGCGGTCTGTGTCAAGCCACATAGCCCCCAAGTGGTCCAAAATGCAGGACCGTAGGCCAGTGAGCCAGTGTCCAGGTGCACATCGAAAAATAGACGGGAATGGGGAATATCTCTGATACACCTCATAGACGTCAGAGATTTCTCGTCTGATCCTGTGTCGCTGCATCAAGGACCGGCCCGATACCATTTGTCGGCTCATTCTGGCAATCTGCTGGTCCAGTCTGGGTCGCTTGCATCCTCTCGGAGCCGCTTTCACAAAGAAGTAATCACCAGCTTCAACAGGGAAATCGTCATCCTGCTCCACTGCCACTCCATTGTGCCATAAAGAGACCGGTCGTAGTTCTTCATCTTGTTGCCAGGTTCTCCAAATGTGCAGCAGGCGAGGTCGTGATGTTTGTCTCCAGAGCCGGAAGGCCAGGATGTGCGTGCTCAGCAGGGGTATCGAATCTTCGTCACTGGATTCCATCACCACAGGTGTATTCGTGCCAGGTGGTCCCAGGTCGACCACAACCAGAAGAGCAAACTTCTGCAGGAGAGTTGAGACATACGCAGTAGGGTGCAACTGCACCTGCATAAATGCTCGCTCCCTGAAGTCAACCCAGAGCCTCCTCATTTGCCTTCGAAGCCATCTTTCATCATGATAGAAGTTGATGGCTCCTCGTAGAATCCCCATGCCTCCAGGCGGATTGCGCCCTGGTCGAAGACAGAGGTATTCTCCTTCCCGCATATAGGTGGGGACCAGCATAAAGAACTGCCATCCATCCATAGAGCGCAATCTGCCCATCCACGGCAGGGTCCCATCGTCCCCCTTGCAATCTCTGTACTGCTCTGCGGCTGACCACAATAGTCAGGACATCGCCATGTTGGACAATAAGGCGATGGAAAGGTTGCAAGAGGACTCCGTTGTGCTCAATCCTCATCTCCCCACTGAGTGCCTGAGCTGTCACTGATCTTCGGGCTAGTACATCACGAACTCGCACCTCGGGTTCAATGAACTCGACTTCAGCATAACTGGCACAGTGGTCTTCCAGCTGCAAGATATATTCCACATACCAGCATCGAGGTTCTGCGTGGGCAAACAACTGATCTTGGGGTGCTAGGACAACCACACAACCAGGCGGCTGTGCTACCAACGTAGTGTCAGGCCAAAAAGCTTGGAAATCCCACTGGCCATCTTGCAGATCCGGCCAGGCTTGTTGGATCGCCGAGATGAAGCTCATTCCGCCAAACCAGGGAAGCAGATACGGGACATTAGAAGTGTCACTGTCCACGAGGTTATAGACAGTGAGCGTTCGTTCCCTATCAGGTTCCCGGAATAGCCGCAGAAAGCCCGCATCCACGGCAGCAGCCCAAACCCTGGTGACCTCCCAGTCAGCCAAAACAGCAACTTCAACCGGCAATTCTGGCACATCAAGAGGTGCTTGTGAAAAGGAGGTCATTTCTTCTTCCTCCAGCATCATGAGGGTTCCATCATCATGGTTCGGCCGACTCGAGCCGGAGAACGGGAACTGAAGAAAGGAGGCCGCATCCCCAAAGGTGGATGTGTCCTCATGGATTGGTGGAGATCCCAAGTCCATTCGCGCCAGAGGTTCTCCACACTGATCCTGATACTCGCCCACCTCAATGTCAATGCGCATCCAGCTTTCCAGGAGCACCCATTGGCTCCCCAGGGGATGAATTGCCCCACATCTTACTGAGCATACCTGGTCCGCACAATCTTGATCAAGACCCACAATCTGCAGCAAGCTCCATTTGTTCTGTCTCCTAGTGGCCAACAACGGCCTCAAAGTGATTGTCGATCGGCCATCGCGAATTTGCTCAATCACCAACAGCACTGCAACCTCATAGGCCCTCAGAGCCCGTGGGACAGCCAACAAATGCATGCCGTCCAAATCCTGTGCCTGCCACGGGGTAGGCTGGGGCCTCACAAAGCCGAACTCCAGCATCTCCCATGGGGGCACAGCATTCTGTACCGCTCGTCTGACCGCAACAATAAGCTCACGCTGCGAGATGCCCCCTTCACCCATGGGTTCCACGAAATAACCATTTACCCACGTAGCATGGATGATCAGGGGAGGCCAACGTTCACGGGCCCAGAGAAAAGCTCCCATATCATGCTGGATCAGATCTAGCCCATGCATTCGTGTGTTGACTTCCCATAGGGCTTCATCTGGAGTCCTGCCTGGAGCTTGCCCCGGCTGCGGTGTGCGTGGATTCGCGCCATGAAAGGGAGGTCCCCTCCATTGAAAGAAACCAACATGATCGTCGTCCACCATCTCTTCTTCTGCAATCTGGGGAAACTGCAATTGCAAACTTCCATCACCCGATCCTTCTTGAGATGACCAGGTGACTTGAGAACTTCCTGGCATTGATCCACTAGAGAATCCTGTTTCCGTTGTGCTCCCGTCATAGGGGTGGGCACGAATCAACAGCAAATCACCAGGCCGGAAGGTGGTCATCCTATATTGGTTTACCAGAACACCATTCCTGGCAATCTCCAGGTCGTAGTTGATGTCGGCATGTAGACCAACCCATTGGATGATGTTATACACCTGCAGGCTCTGTGTTGCCACATATGTCAAAAGAAGCACATGCTCTGGTGATTCATATCGGACAGCAATCGGGACGTCCATGCCACGACAGTTTTCGACCATCAGCAATGATGGAATGTTCTGGTAGATCTCATAAGCCAATGGGAACACCCTGAAGTGGTCAACATTCATCGGCTGTCCTTGTACCTGACACCAGCTCCCGAGGTCTCGGAAGGGATGTGGCGCCAGGAAAGTTTCCACTGGACACTGAACCTCCTGCGTCCTGGTGGCGTGGCCATTAAAAGCCATGCAGTGAACAAGCAAATGTTGTGGCATAGAGCGCCATGGAAGTCCCCTCCAGTAGCCCAGAAGAAATCTTCTTACTTCACATATGTTTGCCTCCAAATTGGTATAGTGCAGCGGTCGGTCAACGGGAGGAGGCCCACTGCTAGCCAAAGAGACTGTGACTTCAGGAGATCTCGTCGAGAGAGTATTGGGTGGGGTAGTTTCTGTGTTCAACTGCATAAAAAATCCCCCATCATGTTCCTCCTTCGACTGTCCAGGCCCCTGGGTGTGAGCCACCGCGCCCAAGTGTTAGGCGCTCTGGATCAGGTTCTTCCCACCAAGATGCTGCTGAGTCGGAACTTGATGAACTATCCGTTGTGAACCAAGTGCTACAATCGGAGAGATCATCCTCATCCTCATTCACAGGGATTTCAACAACCTTCAGACGGCTGCCGGATTTGGCATGGAATGGATGAGGCCAAGCCCATCGTTCCTCTGCCAGCTCGACAAAGCATGTAGCCGAGCTTGCACAAAGATTAGCAGGTGAAAGAAGCTCAAAGATACGTTCTGTCGTGAAGGGATCCCAACCTTCACGAAACAAGACCGTGCCCCTAGCATCCAGCACTTCCGCTACAAAGAAATCCACCAAGAAGATGTGCCCTGGAAAAGATCCCTCTGTGGTGATCAAGAGGACGTCCAAGGCCCCCCTCTCTTCTCCACGCACGGGAGTCAGCTGAAGTGGAAAACCTTCTCTTGCTTCCTCAAAAGCCGCACCTAACTGGCATTCCAGGCACGCTCCAATCCTCAGGGATCCACTGTCCTTTTTGAACTGATTGGCATCCAAATGATGGTGGAAAAAAGTTTGGACGCATCTTTTGCCGGCAGTTGATTTCCCATCCGAAAACCCCAAAGATATTGGCATACCCTCAGGATGAGAGCAGTCCCCTGTTTTCATCGTCCGTTGCATCAAAGCATTCCCGTCATCATATAGGTCATCCGCCTCAAAGTCAAAGAAGTTGGTCACCGCACCAACCCCCTGAGCACAAAAAGGGGCCAGGAAGTAAAAAAGCACAGCAAGCCAACCATTCCATGTTCTTGTTCCTGCCAGCTTCTTTCTACCATGATGCCCTCCTGCCCTTCGGTCTCGCCAGCTTCCAGTGCCATGTTCGGCTAATCCCCATGCTGCCCAAAACCAAGGCGCAATTAAGGGAAATCCCCAGACTCCTAAACCCCAAAGAAGTCCAAAGGGTGCCAAAACATAGACCTGACCAAAACGTGACCGAATGAACAAGATCCAGGGACCCCCAACTTCCTGTTGAAGGACTCGTTCATTGTCATGATCAGCGCACAGCTCTTCATGCCAGCCGTCAGCCTGCCCAAAAAGAGCCGCCCATAGCAAAGATGTCAAAGGAAGATGCCCCAAACCAAACTCCACGACATTCAGCTTCACAGCTTGTCGTCCAGGTCTTCTGGCACTTTCTTCCCTTGTCCATCCAGCTTCGGAATCTTGGAGGGTTGCCCAAACGGACACATGGCATTGCGCTTGTTGAGCTTGTCCACGTCCATCTGGAAAATCTCTGCCTCTGCGCCAGATTCTTGTGTCACCTGACTCATTGGCTTGACCGCCGCTTCGGTGCTCTTGACATTGGCTGCACTGCGACGTATCTCTTCTCGCAAGCTCTCCAGCTCCTTCATCTTTTTGTCGAGTGTTTGGAGCTGGGTCTCGCGCTGCTGAATATAGCCTTGCCTCTGGTGCTCGAACTTCGTCTGGATGAGCGTAACAAACTCTCTCCATCTCGAGTCCAGCAAGTCTACTTCTTTCCTGGCTGCAGCAATCTGTCGCTCCAACTTGTCCGCCTTGGAGAGATCTTGATGTCGCAGCTTCTTGCATGATTCTGGCGCCAGGAACTTTTGCACCTCCATCTTCAAGGTCTCTGGTGCGGAATCCCCCATCAGGTGAAGGAGCTCGGTGAATCTGTCCTTGACCTCTGGCTGTAGCACTTCGGCGTCCCCTTCCGTAGATGCTGTCGCACCTCCCGGGATCACCATCTGCTGGCCAGCTGCCTTCACCGTCTCCTTGTCCTGCTCTTCCGACACTAGATCCACTGGCAGCCTGGTAGATGGCGTGCCTGGCTTCCATGGCGCACTCTTCTGCGGGGAGTCCACAAAAGGTGACAAAGTGGCCCCCGATTCTTTGGGCTTGCCCTTGTTCTTGTTCTTGTTCTTGTCCCCTTCGACCTTGGTCTGCTTTGCACGTGCAGACTTGGACCGGCCTCTGGCACCCACCGTACTCCAGCTCGTAGAGGTAAAGTGAGTGCCACATCCCGCACACCAGCTGTGCCGCTGGAGCTGCACCGAGCCGCATTCGCATCGCCACGCCGCTCCATTGACCATGGATTGCGGCATTTGGCTGCCGTGATGGCAGTTCAACAGCGATGCAGCTTTCGAATCCAGGTGTGTGAATCTGGATTGCCTGCGGTGCAGGCGGGCTCTGGCACGTGCACGGCGCTTGCGCCGATTTTTGTGCCACGAAGGTTCCGGTCGCAGGGCCGTGGAAGATGAACACCAAGAAAAGGGCAATCACCACAGGTCGCACCCAACCACCGCACATGCAGCGCGGGACGAGGTGCTAAGCCTCAACCTAGGACCTCTAAAAACGAGATCCACGAAGCCGAAACTTCTGGGGTGGTGAATGTACACAAAAAACATGCTATTAGGCTATTTGGTTGGAGGCCACTGCTATTGGGTTGGAGGCCCTATCAGGTTGGAGGCCATTGCATTGTTTACATGTCAAACATGCACCGTGAATGTGCTAGGTTCCCATACATGGATCACAATCCCGTCAAAATGCTAGAGTTCCAGTACTCTCTCGACCACACCGCATTTCCAATACCACACCGCTTCTCGACACCTCCAGTACTTGAAACAACATATTCCAACCTACTAGCGATGGCCTCCAACATCTCCAACCTAGTAGCCTTCTTGTTACTAGTAGCTTCTTGCTCCTAGTAGCGATGCCAGGAGCCCCGTTCGTAGCGAACAGTGTTCCTAGTAAGGCCAGGAGCCCCAAGTAGTAAGGCCAGTTCCTAATGGAAAAACGCAAAGAAAACGCAAAGAAACAATTGCCCGCAACAGTCTTCCTTCCATCAGCCTGGCATCAGCAACTTGTTCTTCCCGTCGATGACCCCCGCGCCAGCCGTCATCAGCGACTTGGGTGCCGCAACGAGGTCGATCTTTCCAGAAGTGCCTTTTCACAAGGCCGTCGATCGAAAGTCCCCACGGTCAATCCAAAGAAGCAAAACAAAGGAAGAAGCACGGTCAATGCCATGCCAAACACCTAAAGCATAATCACATTCAACCCCCCCTGCGGACGCAAGAAGCACCTTCTGGTTGTCAATTCTTCTGCGGACTTCAATAGGCAAGATGGGACGTGCACCGAAGGGTGCTACAATGCTACAAGTCAAAGCTTTCTGTGGAAACATTATTGGGACATTACAGCTCTCCTCTTCCCATCCCGTCCCTTTCCGGAAGCGTCCGAGGCCTAGGAGAACATCCACTTCGCGGTAACCATTGGGTGACAGCGTATCAAGGATGCTGACGCTACGCAGGAGCCACGGCCCCTCCTGCAGAGTTGGTGGGCCCACTTGACGGTCGTTGAGTCATTCAAACGTTCAAAGAAGTGAATGCGGACACCTTTCTCAGAAGTGAACGCAGATGGGATAGACACATCGTGACATCACGTTCATTAGCAAATCCAAGGCAAGACTCACTTTCACAGAATACGCAACTGATTCCCCTTCCCTCTCTCTCCTCTCGACTGGTGCCCAGTGTTCCACTCACTCACAAGACAGCAACGCCTTCCGCCGAGAGCGCCGGGCTCGATGCCACAGCATCCAAGCCACAGCAGCTGAAGCAGCTGAAGCGGCGGCCACGGCGGCCAGGCGCGTGCTCATGGCCCAAAATGGTCTAGAAGCAAGGACGCTACTAGTAACAAAGGGCGCGTGCCATGACAAATAGCTACTAGCTACTCATAGCTTCTTGCTACTAGTAGCGATGCACCGTGTTAGTAGCGATGCTCATAGCCCAAAATGGTCTGTGTCTCGAACTGGCCTGATTCCTTGTGCCAAACACAACTGTCCCACGCTGTTTGGATGCTCGCCGCGTTGCAGTCACGTGTTCAGATGTTGAAGATACAGTGTCTAAGAAACATTACTACTAGTAGCTAGAAGCTACTAGTAACAAGGGCACCGGTAGAAGTAGCTTTCAAGCTTACAAGTAGTAACGAATTAGTAACTAAGAAACATTCCACCTCTCGATCAGTCCATCAATTCGAACCAACCTCTCTCCATCTATCACAGTTCCCACATCAGTCTTCAATAGGGACTGAGTGCAGCCACTCCAGGCAACGTTGGAATATCCCGAGCACCAATACACCGACATCATTCCATGGAACTGTTGTGTCTGCGTTCATTGCTCTTAGCCAATGGCTCTTGTGAGGGTCCAGCGAGTCCAGTACACAATTCATCTACTTTGGGGAAACATGGGGAAACTAGGGGCCCCTGGCATCGCTACTAGGAGCAAGGACGCTACTAGGGGCTCCTGGCCGTACTACTAGGAGCAAGTAGCTACTAGTTCCTAGGAAACATCGTAGACTATAACTTCCAAGTCCTCCAAAACATGCTCAGATCTTCCACGCGTGCAGCACCAGAACACCTGTCATGACAAGCAGTCGAAATTGCTGAGCCTGGGCCTGGTAAAAGGATCGTTTCCCATGCTGCTGGCACGGCATCCTGCACGAGGGGTCAACATGGCCACAACAAAAAGCCAACCAGCTCAGCAAACCAAGCATTCTCGGCACGGAATATCTGTCAAGCTGGACATCGGGGTTTATCGAAAACCCGCGGTTGAAAATGATGGGACTCAGTTGAATGTTTTTGCTGCTTTGCAAAATGTTTGCAATGAGGCTGACCCTCCTGGATTCCGCCTCAAGCCTAATCTCAACAATGCAACTTCTTAGTGTGGTTGAGAAGCCGGGAATCTACGAGGTCATCTTTTGCAAGCAAACGCAAGCAATGTTGACCATGATGACACCCTAGGTATCAAGAGTGCATCATGTCCCAAACTAAACTTTGTGTGGACACAGCTCGCAGCGATCACAAAGCCACGTCTGAGGACACATTTGTGGAAAAGGGCAGAATGTCAGGAAGGCTGCGTGAACACTGCGCGAGCTGCAGCTCTGGAATCATTGCCCCTGACCTCATGAAAAGTTTCTATCAATCAGTGACAACTGTCAATGTCCATTGCCTTGGCTGGAGCAGCAGGAAAGCAATAGGCAGCTGAATTCATGCGACTTGTTCACCAACGCATTAGCATCCTAACAACAGTTCTAGAGTTTGAGCGCGCCAAACTGGAACAATGTCCTGGACTTTGGAGCTGCTTTTGCTTGGAGCGTAGCGGGCAAGGCTACTGCAAGTTTAAAAAGGATTGTATGGGCGCATTCTGGAAAGGGTCGCATGTGCTACACATGTTGCGTCACATGGTGCCAAGTGGCCATGGAACCTGGGGAAGTTGTCTGGAGATGGCGATGCCATAGCTTCACCTGTGACGTAAATGTAGGGATGTGTGACACGCCGGGATGTTGCAATCAAGGAGAAAAGAGCTTCAAGGCATTCTGCGCCTGCAATTCCTCAGCCACACTGTCGGGTGCAATCAAGTACGGCACAAAGCTGCTTGGTGCTGGCACTCTCTGTCAGTTGTCAAGCCAGCCATATCAACCATATCGCGCATGACCAAATCCGCATGTATAAATGGAACAGTTCCTGGGCCTACTTTGAGCCTACATTTTCCGATGTTCCACTGCACCTAGATTCAGAGATCAGTTGAACAAGGACAGCGACACACTACTCTGCAATGTCACTAGGCCCCTTCAACAACAATGAATACGCAAACAAGGAACAAACACCGTCAACTGTTTACTCCCAGTCGAGAGCGTTTGACTATTGGCGATTCCTGCAATATGTAAGAGAGACGTGAGAGAGTTCAAACTGATGCCTTTGTATATTGGACAAAGCTCTGCCAGTTTGGAGAATGCGCGATGCAACTCTCTTTCCAGTTGGCTGGTGGGCCCTGACTCCAATGCTTGTCGCAGGCCGTCAACCCGCAGTCTTGCTTCCTGCAGGGCATAGAAAGACTAAAGAACACTTCTACCATCTTCTACCACTAGTGCTTCATTTTGGGGGGTTCAACCCTGTTAGGCACAGCCCACATCAACCCAGAAAAACAAACAGAAACGCTGCAAACATGTTGCCCAAGCGTCAATACTGTAGCTGATTCCATCGGGAGTCAAACGCTGTATACCTGAGTGCAACACAGGAGATAGAAGAGATAAGCAGGGGCCATGCCAATGCAATTATCAACACACACTCTTCAAGGCTTGCTCCCAACTGACTCCAACCAACAATTTCCAAAAAGACTGGAAATGCCAAACCTTCGTTTCTACGCTTGAGGTTGCGATTGAACATGGTAGCGTTGCGCCCAGCTACTCATGGTCTCCAGCACGAGCCCAGCACGTTGCCAGCGTTCACACGTCAGGGCTGCATTGAGCACCACCACATCCGGCACAAAGCCCCCTCCTGGACCTTCACAAAGACTTTGTTGGAAGAGGTGCACACCCAAGCGCCACCTCGAGTCTCAAAACGTCTAGAAGAGACCCCAAAGAGACCCCGCAAAAAACTGAAGTGATACAGTGCTTCAAAAAACGTCTTGACAAATGTGTAAATCATGACATGATCCAAGTCACTGAGCTGACTTCTGGCAAGAGCTAATGACTGCACTGCAAGTGATGGCATCTGGCGTCGTGCTTGAATCGCGCATGGTGTTGAACAAGTGCATAGCACGCTCCCATTGCAAGCCCTTCTCACAGGCACTTGCAATAGAATTGTATGTCACAAGATCCGGCATAATGGAATGAATGTCAATCATCCTCATACAATGCAACGCCATTTGCCACTGCAAGCCCTTCTCACAGGCGCTAATGACAGCATTGTAGCTGATGATGTCTGGCACCAAACGCTGCAGCTTCATCATCCTCAGCAATTCGACCGCTAGTTGCCACATGCAGCCTTTCTCGCAGGAACTCATCGCTGCATTGTAGCTAACCACTGTGGGCCGAACCACATGCAAAGTCATGCGGCTGAGCAAAAGCAAAGCCTGTTGCCACTCCGAGCTCTTTCCGCAGGAACTGATAGCTGCATTAAAAGTTACGGCATCCGGCAGCACATCTTCTTGGATCATCATTTTGAAGAGTGATATTGCAAGCTTCCATTGCAGTCCTTTCTCCAAAGAGCTGATGGCGGCACTGTAAATGATCACATCTGGAGCTAACTCTTGTGCCTTCATGGAGTCGAACAAACACAGCGCCAGTTGCCATTGCTGCCCTTTTTCGCAGGAACTGATGGCAGCGCTATAAAGAATCACATCAGGTGTGACTAGTTTTGATTGCAGTGTGTTGAACAAATCCAGCGCGAATTGCCACTGCAAGCTTTGTGTGCAAGAGCTGATTGCGACGCTGTAGCTGATGATATCGGGTCTGAGCTGTTGTGAGCACATCATGTCAAGCAAGTGCACTGATCCTTGCCACTGCCCTGTTCTGCAAGAGTTCATGGCCCTTGTGTAGGCGCTAATCATGGTATTACAAAGGATAGCATCAGGGGTGATCCGTTGCGCAAGCATCGTACTGAAAATGACCACTGCAAACAGCCACTGCGAGGCCCTCTCCAGGGAACCAATGGCTTGACCGTACGTGATCAAATCTGGGAACAGTCTTTCAAAACTCATCTTCTCAAACATGTGCAGTGCATACCGCCATTGCGAACCCTTCTCAGCAGAACTGATGGCAGCATTGCAAACAATTACATTTGCTTGCAGCTTGTGGGCATGAGCCAGGTTCAACATGTGAAGTGAATCTTGCCATCTGCGCGCCCGCCCACAAGAGCTGATGGCCACTGTCAGCGTGCGCGGTTCAAGACTAATCCGGTGATCCAGCAAGCTTTGGACGGCACTTTCTAATATGTCAGAACGTTGCTCCGCTGTATTGGCAATAAACTTGTGAGCCGCCAAGGAATCCTTCCATTTTTTGCACTCAAACGCCCAAATATGTCCATGGCTCTGTAGCCTAGCCTCCTTCGCCATGGTGCGGAGTTTTGGACAAACAAATTATCCTGTACATCTTGAGCATTGGTGGCTACAAGGAAGGCCTGCCGTGCGAAGGGCTAACATGGCAGCCACAACAAAAAGCCAACCAGCTCAGCAAACCAAGCATTCTCGGCACGGAATATCTGTCAAGCTGGACATCGGGGTTTATCGAAAACCCGCGGTTGAAAATGATGGGACTCAGTTGAATGTTTTTGTTGCTTTGCAAAATGTTTGCAATGAGGCTGACCCTCCTGGATTCCGCCTCAAGCCTAATCTCAACAATGCAACTTCTTACTGTGGTTGAGAAGCCGGGAATCTACGAGGTCATCTTTTGCAAGCAAACGCAAGCAATGTTGACCATGATGGCACCCTAGGTATCAAGAGTGCATCATGTCCTAAACTAAACTTTGTGTGAACACAGCTCGCAGCGCCCACAAAGCCAAGTCTGAAGACACTTTTGTGGAAAAGGGCAGAATGTCAGGAAGGCTGCGTGAACACTGCGCGAGCTGCAGCTCTGGAATCGTTGCCCCGGAGCGCATGAAAAATGTCTATCAATGAGTGAAAGCTGTCAATGTCCATTGCCTTGGCTGGAGCAGCAGGAAAGCAATAGGCTGCTGAATTCATGCGACTTGCTCGCCAACACATTTGCATCCTAACAACAGCTCTAAAGTTGAAGCGTGCCAAACTGTCCTGGACTTTGGAGCTGCTTTTGCTTCGTAGCAAGGTTACTGCAAGTTTAAAAGGGATGGTTTCTTGGCACAAAGCGTAGGGGCGCATTCTGGAAAGGGTCGCATGTGCTACACATGTTGCGTCACATGGTGCCAAGTGGCCATGGAACCTGGGGAAGTCGTCTGGAGATGGCGATGCCATAGCTTCACCTGTGACGTAAATGTAGGGATGTGTGACACGCCGGGATGTTGCAATCAGGGAAAAGAGCTTCAAGGCTTTCTGCGCCTGCAATTCCTCAGCCACACTGTCAGGTGCAATCAAGTACGGCACAAAGCTGCTTGGTGCTGGCACTCTCTGTCAGTTGTCAAGCCAGCCATATCAACCATATCGCGCATGACCAAATCCGCATAAATGGAACAGTTCTTGGGCCTACTTTGAGCCTACATTTTCCGATGTTCCACTGCACCTAGGTTCAGAGATCAGTTGAACAAGGACAGCGACACGCTAGTCTGCAATGTCACTAGGCCCCTTCAACAACAATGAATACGCAAACAAGGAACAAACACCGTCAACTGTTTACTCCCAGTCGAGAGCGTTTGACTATTGGCGATTCCTGCAATATGTAGAGAGACGTGAGAGAGTTCAAACTGATGCCTTTGTATATTGGACAAAGCTCTGCCAGTTTGGAGAATGCGCGATGCAACTCTCTTTCCAGTTGGCTGGTGGGCCCTGACTCCAATGCTTGTCGCAGGCCGTCAACCCGCAGTCTTGCTTCCTGCAGGGCATAGAAAGACTAAAGAACACTTCTACCATCTTCTACCACTAGTGCTTCATTTTGGGGGGTTCAACCCTGTTAGGCACAGCCCACATCAACCCAGAAAAACAAACAGAAACGCTGCAAATATGTTGCCCAGGTGTCGGTGATTTTTGCACTGAGCTCAGTGAAGGTTGCCTTTCGTTCCTTCTCCATTTCTCGCACCAAAACCACCGAAGCCGCTCTCACCGACACCAAGCGAGTGCCCTTCGCCAACGCGTCGGCGGAGGGCGACGCCGGCGACGGCGGCGACGCCCGGGCAGCGTGGGCAGCGTGGCGGTCCAGCCGCGGCGATCCAGCTGCCTGCGGCGGCGAGTCGCTCCTTGGCGTTCAAAACAGGTCCAAAGGGCCTGTTTAAGGTGAACGGTTTTGTTTCAAAAGCATAATATACAAAAACCGTAGTTCAAATATCATTTCTATTGTAGCCATATATGACGATATATATGTATATATGTATAGCAGAAGTCTGAGCTGCTTTCGAGTTCATGAGAAACCATAAGATGTGGTCACTTTACGCTTGAAGCCCTTTTTGTTCGAAGTGAAAAGGATCGTGCGGATCCTGCTGTGGGTTATGAGCCCAAGACGCTTAGCGTGAAGGGTTCTTTTTTTGGACCTCGCGTTCGCTTTCTCGCCATGAGTGAAGAGGAGGTGTCTGAAAGGACACCAGAGAGCCCGAACATGCCTGCCATCGAGGACGTCCCAGCTTCTGCGGGGGCTTTGACATGCCCAAAAGGACCAACCAACGGTCTTGAGCCCAGACAACTGGAACCCTTTTTGGTCGGAAGGGTTGAGGGACGAGGCTATTCTTAGAGCCATCCGTCCGGCAGATCTCCCCTCAGAATCCACTGAGTTGCTTCCTGGTGGTACCCCGACAACAAGCCCACCACGTGATGTTCCAGATGCAGTTAAGGCTGTTTTGCAGGGCTTGATGAGTGAAAACGCTCGTTTGTGGACAGAGCGTGAGTCTTGGGGTCAACACCACATGAACCAAAGGTGGGGACCTTTTCCAAACACCATGAGCCAGCCAAATGCATGGGGGTCTATGTGGGGCACTATGAGTATGCCTCCTTCGACTACATGTTCACCTATGGAGGGTGGGCTGCTTGGCGCCTTGGTTGGAGGTGGCTCTCGGGGAGGGCAGGCAGGGAGCTATGCCTATTCCGGGGAGTTTGGAACTTCTGGTCAAAGGTCAACCCCAAAGACAAGCCTCATGGAGGTCTTCAACCGTGTTTCCGCGGCCGGTGGCTTGGTGCAGTCGATGATCCCAGGGGTTGCAGAGGTGTCCAAGACCTTTTCGAGGGCTTGCTCGGGAGGTCAGGCTGAAGGAACAGCAGGGGTGGTGCCCCAAGCGCCTAGTCACTATGAGATTGGGTCCTCCAAGGGTGGCACTCGTCCAGGGGGTGGCGATTCGGGACAAGATCAACAAAAGTCAACCTGTGCTCCAGGTGAAGCAATTAGTGAAAAAGAGCCGTCAGTGCGAGAGGCTGGTCAGCCTAGTGCCTTGGGTCCAACCGTGTCTGAAGCTTCGTCGGTGGGAGGTGGTCTTCATCGAGGGCATCTAGGTTGGGGAGCTCAAGGGCAAGGTCACATGGGTGGTCATGGTGGTCTCCATGGAGGAGGTCTTCCTGGTGCCGGTGGGTTTCTGGCAGGAATGGGTTTTCCTGGTCATCCTGGAGGTGGTTTTCCAGGGGGAGGCAATGGACTACATCATGGAGGTGGCGGTCTTCCTGGCGGAGGCTTTCCGGGCAACCCTGGCGGAAGTGAGGCTTTCCTGGCAACCCAGGTGGCGGAGGAAATCCCGGAGGTGGCGGCGGCTTTCCTGGTCCTGGAGGAGGTGATCCCGGGATGCCCTATGCAGGACTGCCGGCGTGGTTGGGTGGCATCATGGCTCAGCAAGAATCCGTGGGAGCGGTCGATTTGCCACCTCTCCAAGAGCTTTCGGAGTCCGGGGACTGGTTGACGACAGTGGGTCCCTTCCTGAGAGATATGAGTTCAAGCTCCTCCATGTGGTGGGACGAGGTGCTCAATGTGGCGGGGAACCTCTATCGGGAATGGCTGAATTCTGAGCCGATGGAACGCTTGAGGTTGATGCCGGTGGCTCCTTTGGCCTTTCAGCGCCCTCCATGGCTTCGCATTGAGCAGAGAGGATCCGTGGCGCTTTTGAAGGCGATTCCGGAGTCGATTCGAGCAGAACTGGTGTCGCAAAGGGAGGTGGGTTCTGTAAGCATCATCTTCAAGATCCTCAGGGTTTATCAACCAGGGGGACTGGGCGAGCGCACCACTTTGCTCAAGCAGTTGGTTGATCAAAAAGTTCCACAGCCTCTTGGAGAATGGTTGACATCGTTGAGGGCCTGGCGCCGGTGGTTGACGAGGGTGCAGGAGTTGAGAATACAACCTCCTGATCCGGTCCTGCTTCTTTCAACGCTGGATCGATTTGCCGCTGGTCTTGCAAAGCATTCGTCACAAGTTGCTTTTAGATTGCAGGTCACTCGTGCTGCTCTCCGAGTTGATGTGGCTCCAACGGAACATGGAATCCAGCAGTTCGCAGAGTCTCTGCTCGCGGAAGGTGAGGCGACGTTCCACAGTGGCTCAACGGCTCCTCTCAAAGATTCCGTGAAGATCAGAGCTTTGGACGGCGATGGCGGAGGAAAGGATGATGGCCCCAAATCTCGGGATGGCAAGGACAAGGCCAAGGACATCTCTGACCAGAAGGACCAGAAGGATGCCAAGAATGTGAAGTCCGACGCCAAGCCATCCAAGGGAGACTCCAAGGGAGGGTCATCTGAGAAGCCCGTGTGCCGCTACTTCTTGTCGGAGTCTGGGCGCAAGAAAGGGCAGAAGTGCTCGTTTCCACACGAATGGAAGGGAGTGTCGAAACAAGGTCGTTGTTGGACCTGCGGTTCAACTCAACATATGAAGCCGGATTGCCCGGCGAAGGACGTGCCGAAGGTCAAGAAGGAGATCGTTGAGGATGCGAAGGGCAAAGACGGAGGTGGAAAGGGAAATGAAAATGTGGGGATGTCGTCCGGGGAGGCTTCAACTCCATCTTCCTTCACTCCGCCTACAGTGCAGCCCTCGGAGGATCTGATGAAGGAGGCGGTCCAGCTTTTGAAGTCGTTGAGACCGGCAATCAAGGCCGTCAATATGCGATCCGTCAATCCAAAAGATGGGTCAACGAGAGCGCTTTTGGATGGAGGTGCCACTCACATCTTGAGGCCAGCAAGATCCAAGGCGGAGTTCGACAAGGCGATCCCCATTAAGGTGGAGCTGGCAGCAGGAGTCACAACACTTCGTCAAGTCGAGTCCACGGGAACACTGCTGACCGACTTTGAGACCCAGACCATCGTGCCTCTTGGAAAGGTGGTTCGACTGGGGTACAAGGTGAAATGGGAGGGAGAAACCTTTGAGCTGTGGAACCCCATTGGTGGAAGGGTGGAGGTTGAGCTGGAAGCTGGCTGTCCCACTGTGGATCTCAAGGTCGCCAACAACATGATCGCGGAGCTGGAGAAGTTCG